ACAAGTACAGGAAAGTGTACAAGCTGAGACCACTTCAGATGCCTTGCAAGAACCAGGAACAGAAAGAAGGAGATCTAGTTTAGCCAATGCCATCAACTGGTTATTGAATCGAACGAGGACAACCGAGGAAGAACAAAAAGCACTAGAAGACGTAACAGAGGAAGGTTCTGATAGTGATGTCAAGAAATTAGATTCATCTGAGACCACGAATGAACCTGTTGAGGATTTAGAAGAACAAGTACAAGAAAGTGTACAAGCTGAGAAGCTTTCAGATGTTCTGACAGAACCAGAAATGGAAAGGCATATTATCGACTCACCTGAGACCACGACATGTACTGAACAGATTGAAGATTTTGAAGCACAAGTACAGGAAAGTGTACAAGCTGAGATCACTTCAGATGCCTTGCCCGAACCAGAAAGGTCGTCCTCAAGTAACAGCACAGCAGACAGAATAACATCTCTAGCTGATCTTGAATACCAACAAAGCGAGATTACAGAAGCTTCTAAGAACATCATTCCCGAGCCCACTCCAGGAGTTATCCACGAAGAGAGTGGTGAGTCGAAGTCACAAAGAAAAAGTGCAAAGGCACGACGAGCGTCTGAGCCAGGTACATCTTCGCAGAGCTCAAATATCCCGAAAAACAAAAGGCGTAGGTCAAGTGTCGGTCAAGCCCTGAGAAAGTTATGGAATCCCAAGGAATTTCAAATTGATAGTCAATTAGAGAAAGACTACACTGTAACTGATGCTCAAGCAGGTGAAAATTCCGAAAGTGTGGAGAATGAGCGACACGATTCTGAAATCCACCCTGAATCGACAAAGGAGACAACAGCAGACGTGGTATTGAAAACAAACGTATCTGTTACCAAGGCTGGATCAAGGAGGATGCCAACAGGAGATAGCATTGATTCAGGCCCATCTTCTGATGATGCAGGGCAAGCTAATCAAACAAGAACGAATTCTGTTATCGCAGCGGCTGTTGGGCGTCGAGGTTCTTCCACTGACGAAGTTTCAAGTACCAACATGGTGCATGAGCAAGTCAGTGATAATGAACAAGTGCACCAAGACGATGGTGCTGCCCATAACACAGTGGACACTGAATCAACACAGAACGCATCGGAGGATAGCTCACATGCAGAACGAAGTGGCAACGAAGAAAATAATGACGAGGGATAAATCACCACCAAAAATGGGTGGATTCTAAACTAATAATCACGGAAATGCTTAAACTGTTATGCATATCTGGAACTAAATGTCAAATGTACATTCTTGCGAACTCTGCCATCAAAATAATACTATTCTAGCTTACAATGGTCGACATAAACCATTGTCCATTGTTGAGCTGTGATGTAAATGCATGGAGAATCTGACCCTAATAAACTAAATGGACCTGCTTATATAACGTGTGAATGCCGTAAAGGTTTTAGAGAGCATCGACGACCCCTTGCCACTTCGTATGTTTTTCGCTTTTTTCTCAAATGATTCAAAACTCATTCACTTCATTTAACGGATGTCTTGGATTTCGCGTCGATTTCAGGTATAACTGCCCATAGAATATTTTCTAGTGATGTCGCGCGCATTTAGAAAAGAATCAAAAACTCAATCAAATGCAGTTTCAGTTCCAATTAAAGGTTCGACGACTTTTTTGTGTGGAATTCAGTTTCATGCGAAAATGTGATAATCCTGTCGATATGGTTCTTTTAATACATGGCCACTTGTTTATTTTTCAGTAAAATTTACGCATTGTGAAAAATAATTTCAAGGCTATTTGACATACCTTTCTAAGGTGTTTAGTTTTCAACAATATTTACATTTTAAGAGCATCAATACTCCATTTTACAGTTCCGTTCAGTGACCACGAATAATAGTTTCAATCCGAGGTTGGAGTTGCCACGCATGATAAACTATAGTTTTCCTATGCGCGGAAACTCCAACCTCGACTTGGATCTAGTATTCGTAATCACTGACCGGATCTGTAAAATGGAGTATTTGAAGTGTTTATTTGGCTAAAACAAACAGATCTTGTAGAGAGATAGGTTTCCATGATCCTTGAGTTTGTACAAACACTACTCCCTGGTCGATATAGATGGTTGTCTTGCCTAAAGTGTACAGTGTTTTTCCTTCATAGCGGCGGTTAGGGACTGGCAGGAAGACTATGTTGTTATCCTCAGCCTAAAAACCACAAACAAAGCTAGTGAGCTTCCAGAAAATAGAATGAAACTTGAATAAGGATAGGGAAAATAATTAATAAAAGATGGCTAATGTTTTCGAAAATGATGATGATGATGATGATGATGATGATAACAATAATGTTGCAAGAAATAATCATAACCAATCTCAACAATGGACGCTAGAGAGAATGCGACGCTTACGTGACCTACAACTACAGAGTTTATTACTATGGCTTGGAATAGTCAAGGCACTGTCACGATAGCGAAGGCAATGCTTATCCAATGAAAACGCTCGTTCGTATTTGAAATCTGTTCTAATGTGAAATCATTGCTAGTCCCCCTCCATGAACTATGGTGTCATCAAATCAAATGATAACAGTATGAACTCCGCTTATATAACTTGTTTGGTCTTACCATTTTATGAATGAGATCTTTAAAATTGGTAGGCACATTTTGGTTGGCTGCTTGCAGTCGGGCTGTTTCTGCCTAAAACATAAACAATTATCAGGGGACAAAGAAAGAAAGAAAGAAAGAAAGAAAATAAGAAAGGAAGGAAGATGGAAGAAAATAAAAAAGGAAGGAAGGAAAAAAGGAAGGAATGCAAGGAAGGAGAAATGAAGGAAGGAGAGTGCAGGGCAAGAGAAGCGAAAAGATGAGAACGAAGAAGAGTAAAATAAATAATCTCTAACCCCTCGTTCTTGGTACTTACTCTTGACCTTTCCAAGGCTGCTGTAGCTGCCGCCGCTTCCGCCTCCTTTCTGTAATACCAGAACATTATAAAATCATTAGGTACGGTCTTGTAGCATAAATTAAAACAATCATAGCTCCCCACCTTCTTTCGATGCTTGTGAGATAAGCGATGTGTTCCTTGGCTCCTGGTTGTAAGTATTCTCCTGGTGATGATACCGCTTGATTCATTACGTCAAGCGCTCGGTTAAACTGGGCTGAAGACAAGACAGAAATAAAACCAATTAAGTTCGAATTATTTTCCAAGACATTTCTTATTCAATGTCCATAAGCGTCTGAGTTGTGGAGGTCTTGTGTTCATCTCTAGACCATAATTCCTTGAGTGAATTTGTTGATGTGTCGATCCATGGGATACTACTAATATTTAAAGGAAACACTACCACCCCCACCCCTCACCGCACCACCCATAAAGGAACCCGCATATCTGGTAGACAAAGAAATCGCACTCGGTGAAATGAAGATACAAAATGAGAAAATGGGAGGGAAAAACGCTTCCTCTATACTGTGTGCAAATCATACTCGATCCAAGGGTTAACCTCCTAATTGTCTAGTTCTTATACCTCTGAAACAACTTTAATAAACAATTACTAATTCTTTACTAACCTTTTATGGACTGGTTGTTCAGAAGCTCGTCGGAAAACATTGTCTTCCAGCCTTTGTACCTTTAAAGTTGATAAAAGAACATGAAAAAAGTACTTTAGATATCAAGGTGATGTCTTATAACAATGAATGAAGTCCTGAGACCTTTTCGACCTCTTGACACATAGACTCTCTTAACAGTGGTGGAGGTGCAAACACACGCGTTTTGGCGCGAAAAATCCCGCCAAATCCACAGGCAGCCCAACAAAATAGAAGAAAAGAAACATTTTAGACTTTTATCCAAACACGCTCTTTTAAAGTGCACATGAACCCTTCGACAATACTTTCAGTACT